ATTTGAAAGAAGTAAAAGGACTATTTTAATAATATAATAGAATTTCACAAGACAAAACTCCAGTAATTTTTTAATGTTAAATTATTATTCCTGTGGACTGCTCTCTTTTCAAAGTTAAAATTCATAAATCTATGAACATATATACTTATATTCCTAGATCACAATAACTAATCCCTATTCATTGCCAAGGGGTAATATATGATGTTTTTTTAAGGTTTCATTTTTATACTGTTTTATTTTTACCGTTATTTTTATAGATAGTGATAAACTGCAATAATGATTGGGAATGCATTTATGTGTAATTTGCAAGGAACATCTAATGTTTATGGCGATGTAACTTTATTTATTCCCGACCTCTAATTATATATTTTTTTTCTTTTTAAATTTTATTCAATAAGTTAATTGATGGACTCAAATCCTATCAATAATTTGTTGTTCTACCATCATATATATATTTCCACGATTGTAGACTCAAATCCAAACTTACAATTAGTTGGGATACAATGTGACCACATGTGAGAAAATAATTATAATTAAAATATACCCACGTGCATCCAACTACTCACAACCTCAAAATCTCACATACAAATTAATTTATTAAAGATCTAGCTACAAAGTGAGATTTAGTACTATTTTATGAAACTAATAAAGCCCAAGAACTTTAGGTTAAAAAGTAAGATCAATGATTAAAGGAAGCTAACCTAGATACAAGTGGATTTCCATTAACCATTTAATTATATGAATAATATTGCATTATATGCGTGACATGTACATAAAATACTGTTTTAATTTATGATGTTACATATATTGATATATATAAAAAAAAATGATGACAGATGAGCCAAGTAGACTAATGGTTAGCCTTTTTGCTAAGCTAGCTCTTTGATTATTCATCTTCATTGATTGCTAATTATGCAGGTGACTTATTAGTGAACCTTCCTTAATCAGTGAATGAACGTGGAGCATTTGGTGCTTCTGACCCTAAAGTAAATTAATGGAGTATAAACACATTAAACTTATTATCTTTTTGCCACAACTTGTTAGTTTGGACGTACTATACTAGTACACTAGCATAATGTGTCCGATAATCCCGTTATAAGACATTAATTTTTATTTTTTATTTAAAGGAGGATTTTTTTTTTTTTTTTTTCTGCCACATTGATAATAAGCCAATGATATATCATTCAAAAATAATATGAAGAAAACTTCAAATATTACTTAAACGGATAGAAAAACTACTAGTATTATATTCCTCAAAATAAAGGAAAGATATCCAACTAACTTAAAATTGATAAAATAAAATAAAAATATTAAATAAATAAATACGGTTTAATAATGAAAAAAAAGGATGTAATTCAAAGTCATGGAAGTGTAGTAATCAAGTTTGATTTCAAACAGTCAAATATTATTTATACTTATAAGTTTTATATCCATTGATTATATTTCTTCACACTACTAATTCATGTGCATTCATATATTATGATCTTCGCTTAATTGATAGTACAAAAGGATGAATCTATTCAATTTTTTTTTAATAATACACTACTTCATATTGATCAATTTGTATGCATCACTTGTTGAATACTTCAATTAGTGTGTAAAATGTCAAAAAACTTGACCTTAAGATAGTTTAATTGATATGTAGGATGGGAGTACCATCATTATGATTTATGAGGTTGAATGAAGTACTAGTATCACTTTCCATGAATCACTTATTGAATACTTAGTATGTAATTAAAACTGCAATAAACTTGACCTTAAGATAGTTTAATCGATAAGTACATACCTTCATTATGATTTACGATGTTAATTGAATGAAGTACTATTGTACTACTGAAAAGAATTAAACATGGTGACAAATTTGCAGATCAAAAGGGCCTCTATAACAAAATTAACGCAAGCTAAGCTAGTTAGTGAAGCACTGGCTAACTTGCATTAATTTTGTAGACTAAATAATTAGATAATTTTGTAGACTAAATAATTAGATTAATTAGTAGATAGTTTGTACGTAGTAAATTGCATGTATACGTGGTCCTTTTGGGGACATCGATCATATTTTATAGGAAAATGACATCAAGTTATTAATGCTAAAATATCTAGTGTAACTATATGTACCATTTACATGGTGTAAATGTGTAGTACAGTTAAGTAGTAGCCCTAGTAGGTATAAAGTCATTGAAGCTTCTCAAACTTAATTAATTTAAACTTTTATTTTTTTAAAAAAAAAAAAGTTAGAAATTAAATATAGTCCATATAATTTTACTCACCTTTTTCAATTCACCAACAATGTTTATATTGTACGATTAACTTGACGTGGTTCAATTGAGGCGGTCTGTTTATCAAAGAGATCTCTGATTTGAAGATCGTCTGACTTATTATAACAAGTCTCTTTTACCTTTTTGTAGTAGTAAAAGTTTGGTCTAAATATCTAATGGTAAAAAATTTAACCATGAGGTCAAACACCATTATTTGCTTTTTGAAAATATGATTCTTTATCCTTTTCCGTCACTTTTAACGAAGAAGACTAGTAAAAAGCTCAACTGGATTAACCCTTGATAATGAGATATGTGGATGCAACATAGTATCCACGCACAAAATAGGTTAAATAATAATTATAAAAAGATTTAAATCAAACTTTGATATATAATTACATGACTGCCATGAAAAAAAAAAATTATTTCAACTAATAGGAAACTTCAAAGCTATCTAAATTTTTCCTATTATTTAGATAAGTCAAGCTTTTATCAGTCACGACTTCATTCAAAAAGGTGGAAACTAAAAATATCTTTATCTTATAAATTTTAAAGTTTTCATCATGCCAAACATTATTGTTCGTTGAACAAAGAAATTTTGAGTAATATAAAGTCAATAAGCAGAAAGTATCTAGGATAAATGTGGGATTAACATAACACGTTTACTAGAAAAGGAAAGGTTTGACGACCAATTCCATAGAAATAGATGGACTAAAAAACTGTCAAAACCTTTTAACAAATCCTTTTGATTTTTTTTAAACTACTAATTTGAATTTTCTTTCAAAATATATACTCGTATTATAAAACGATGTGACGATATATAAAGTATACGCTTATATCAAACCTGAGAGTTTAGAAGAGCACAATAAAATAAATTTTACGACGTCATAATAATAAATATCTATCTTAGTAAAATAATACACGTAGTTAACTTTTAATTTTCAAGCCGTTATATTTATTATTGTTCTTCCAGTTAGGTGAGAAATGAGAAAACATACAATTGTTGGTTGAGAGTGATGTGCCAACAGCCTAGTATTGTCTATTTGGTTAAGAATTTGAAGCAATCTTAATATTTGTATGACTACTATAAGTAACCTCTAGTATTCAAACATTGGCCCAACAATCCTTTTTGGAGTATATAGTTTGGAACAAGGAAAATAAAGAGCATATCAGCATAATATGCACACATAGAGCCAACTACAACTTTGCCCAATAGCAGCATTTTCGAGTGTGCGCAATTTCATGTGTTTGGGGTCCAAATAACTTGTATTTGGGCCCAGTCCACAAATGAAAATAAACAAAGCCCAATAGGCAAGGTCTAACCCTCTGGCCCATGTGCCAAGTCAAGTCAACGAAGCCCAATCAAATGGCAGCCCATTTGACTCCTCAAACCCACTCCATTCAATTGGAGCAAGGTATAAAAGCTCACACTTATGCAAATTCAGATTCATTCGCTCATATTGCCTCAAGCAACAAAACTCTCTTGCATAACAATTCTCTCTCCATTTTACACTCGTACTGACTTCGGCATCGGAGGGGCCTTCCTCAGCATAACCTCCGAGGCCAGTTTACGTTTGTTTAGCTGTGCAGGAAATCCCCAATTTGGTCATCACTCGAATTGGGCTTCATCTCCACTCATCCGAAGGACCTGCCGAAGGTCCCATTGTTTTTACCGAAATAATTTGGCGCCGTCTGTGGGGACTTTTACAAAAATTCAGCCAAAAATCTCATACCAATCTTAGCCAACGCAAAAAATTGACTAAGAATGGCAAAAACTCCAAAAAAAAACAAAAAAAAATGGGCCTAATCATGGTGAGAACCGGTGAGACACGCTCATCGTCGCCTAAGCCATCAGCCTCTAACTCCCCGAGAAGAGAAAATTTGCGTGAGGGATCTCCCTCCCGACGGGATCACCAAGCTGGGAACTCGCCGAGAGAGAGCGATGCTCATAACGATAGTCCTTCGCAAAGCATGCATTCAACTCCTCCCACCGTTCCTTCGACTAAAGAGGTGGCGAGGGCAGTGGCTGTCTGCATGGAGTTCATGAAAGCCCTGGGTGGACGCCTCTCATTCGTGCATACTACTCCTCCTTCACCCCCGCAGAAGCTGGAAAGCCGGAAGAGGAAACTGACCTCGGGAGGGGAAGGGCGGGTTCCACTCTCCAAGGGAGAGGGAAGCGGAAGAGTCGAAAGCTTAGGCAAGACAGGACGGGAACGACGAGGGGACTCCGGTCACTTTGAAAATTCTCAAGTCCGGAACTTAAAGGACGCCCCAAGCAGCCACAACGCTTCTCGCTGAAGCGTTTACGAGCGCCTAGGGGAAAGGGAGAAGGACATTCACAGTCGTCTCACCTATCCTGAAGGCTCTCGCCCAGAACTGTCACACGGAGGGACACCCCTCACTTCCACCTCTCTAAGAGGGAGAATTGAAGTTCCTTCGGAAAGGCAGAAGGGAAAAGCTGTGATGGTTCCTACCAGTTCACCTTTCTAGAGGTGGATATTGGAGGAACACGTGCCGACGGTCAAAATTCCGACACACATCACTTACGATGGTACTTCGGATCCGAAGGACCACATAGCCTCCTACGAGAGGCATATGTACCTTAACCCCAGGTCCGAAGCAACCTAGTGCAAATACTTCCCCACAACCCTTAAAGGTGTTGCACAGTCGTGGATCACCAAAGGGCTGAAGGAAGGCTCTATAACAGGTTGGAGTGATCTCGTCAACAAGTTCAAGAGAAATTTTTCCATGGCTAATCGCCGAGAGAAAACCACTACAGAGCTTATGGGCCTGCAGCAAGCGGAAGACGAAAGTCTCCGAGATTACTTGACTCGCTTCAGCAACGAGTCGTCTAGAATCACAAGTCTGGACCAAAGCCTAGCCGTATTCGCACTGCGGAACGGCTTACAAGTTAGAAAGTTTCTGGATTTCATGGTCATGCATCCCCCGCAGACCCTGGAAGAAGCCCTCGATGCCTTGGATAAATTCATCCGAGCAGAGGAATGGAACAAGGCCAAGCTGCAATCTCAAACAGGGCTCGCAAAGCCAAAAGGGCAGCAAGCCGAAGTTCCCGGGTCGAGGAAAGGGAAGGCAAAGACCTCAGAACCCCCTTCGACCACAAAGCCGAAGAAGGACAAGGCTCCCTATCTGGGAAATTTTGAATCTTACACCCCTCTCATCTTACCACGTACCAAGATCTTTAGTGTGACGACGGAGGAAGGAAGATTCAAGAAACCAAAACCACCTCCTTCTTGGCATCAAAAGAAGGGGAAGGATCATTGGTGCGAGTTCCACGAGTCCCGTGGACATCGCATCGAGGATTGCCTCCAGCTGAAGGACCATATTAAAGAACTGGTCCAGAAAGGGTATTTAAAGAAATATGTCGCGAAGCGCCGCGAAGAAAAGAAAGCTAAGAGAGATTCTCGGCAGGATCTGGACTACCACCGGAAAAGGGACAAACCTCCCGAGGGAGGAAATCATGACATATTAACCATTTTCGGGGGTATTTCTCGGAATGCACTGAAGCGCCATCTGAGGGGGCTGACCCATCAGATTCATCATGACGAATTCCGAAAGCCACAGTCTCCGGTGCCGAATATGTTGTTCACATCCGAAGACTGCAGGGGGGTGGTATACCCCCATGATGACCCATTGGTTATCATGACGAGCATTGCAAACCACAACGTTTATCGGACACTGGTAGACGGTGGCAGCGGGGCGAATATACTTTTCCGAAAGACATTCGACCAGCTGAAGTTGGAGAGCAGGCACCTGACTTTAGTTCCCTACCTGGTAACTGGATTCAACGGCTCTTCTTCATATCCAGATGGGAAAATTCTTCTTCCCGTCAGCCTCGGCCAAGACCGAGCAAGGCGAAGCATCATGGCCGAATTCTTGGTCATTGACGCCCCATCAGTGTACAACGTCATTATGGGGAGACCCCTCATCCATGACGTTCAGGGAGTTGTCTCGACGTATCATCAAGCAATGATCTCCGTTTCAGACGAAGGACGCTCCGAAAAAATCTTGGGCAACCAAAGAGAGGTTCGAGAATGCAATTTCCTCAAACCATCCAAGAGTCGCCGTAATGACAAGGATGATGAGGAAGAAAGAGAGAAAGAAAAAGAGCGAGGTACCAAAAGGCCGAAGGGCTTAAGTGCTTCGGCTCAGGGGTCCCCAAGAAAAAGAACATCTTTGGGGACTGGAAAGGCTAGTTCTTCGGCTGGGTCGAAAGATTCAGACGAAGAACAGCCGAAGAAAGGGAGGTTTGCTGATATTGACAGCAGGCCCGAACCAGAAGAGCCTGGCTCCAAAGCAATGGAGTGAGATGAACAAACTGAGTCAATATCGTTGACCGAAGGAGATACTGAAAAATGTGTCAGCATCGGACAAGGGCTCGATCCGAACGTCCGGGTTGAATTAATCCAACTCCTTCGGGACAACCGAGATGTGTTCGCATTCTTAGCATCTGACATGCGGGGAATTGATCCGAACCTTATCTCTCACAAGATTAATGTCGACCCCACATGTCGGCCAGTTAAGCAAAAGAAGCGGAATTATTCCGCTCAAAAGAACCAATATATCGCGGCCGAAGTCAAAAAACTTCTGGACGCAGGGTTCATCGAGCCTTGCCAATATCCTGAATGGCTGGCGAATGTGGTGATGGTTCAGAAGGCTAATGGTACTTGGAGAATGTGCGTTGACTTCACGGACCTAAATAGGGCCTGTCCGAAGGACTTCTATCCCTTGACGAGAATCGATCAGCTACTCGACTCGACAAGCGGCCATGCTCTGCTTAGTTTCATGGACGCATTTTCTGGGTACCATCAGATTTTCATGCACCCCGATGACAGAGCAAAAACGACATTCGTTACAAGCGTCGGGGTGTATAACTACAAGATGATGCCCTTCGACTTGAAAAATGCCGGAGCGACATATCAGAGGTTGGTGGACCAAGTGTTTGCCGAAAAAAAAGGCCGCAGTATGGAAGTCTATGTTGACGATTCCATCGTCAAAAGCAAAGAGGCAAAGGACCATGTTGCGGACTTAGCCGAAACGTTCGCCACTCTGAGAAAGCATCAAATGAAGCTAAATCCGAAGAAATGTGTCTTCGGCGTGAAGTCAGGGAAATTCCTTGGTTTCATGGTCAGCAAAAGGGGGATTGATGCTAATCCCGCCAAAGTTCAAGCAGCTCTTGACCTTCCCGAGCCGAAAACAAAGAGGGACGATCAATGTCTCACTAGGAGGATGGCTGCCCTGTCCAGGTTCATCTCGAAAGCCTCGGACAAAGGGTTGCCCTTCTTCAAAGCGCTCAAACTTCCAAAATCTAAAGAGCTCATATGGGAAGAAGAGCAGAAGATAGACTTCTAGCAGCTCCGGGAGCACCTGGCCAATCTCCCAACGCTGGCAAGACCAGCAGAAGGAGAAGTCTTGTACTTATACGTGGAAGTTAGCCCTGCCACAGTGAGTGCGGTGCTACTGAAAGAAGAAGAAAGGGTCCAGCAATCGATCTACCTCGTCAGTCATACGTCGACCGACGCCGAAACGCGCTACCCCTTGCTCGAAAAAGTTGCATATGCAGTGGTAGTAGCGGCTCGAAAGTTAAGGCCTTATTTTGACTCACATCAGATAGTGGTCTTGACAGATAAACCGTTGGAAAAAGTCCTCGGCAAGGTTGAAAAGTCAAGCAGACTAAAATAGTGGGCCTTCGAGCTCACTGAGTTCAGCATAAGCTATCAGCCGAGGGCAGCCATTAAGTCCCAAGCCTTAGCAGATTTCCTGGCCGAATGTTCCTATCAGGAAACACTCGACGAAGGAAAGAAGATCTGGACTGTTTTCACGGATGGCTCAGCCACCGTGAATGGTTCGGGGGCAGAGGTAGTGATCACCTCTCCCGAAGGCAAAAACTTCGAGTATGCATTGAAATTTTCATTCAAGGCCTCCAACAATGAAGCCGAATATGAAGCAGCAATTGTTGGCTTAGAGTTGTGGATAGCCCTCGAAGTCGAACATGTCTGTTTGAAGACAGACTCTCAGCTAGTCGCCAATCAGATTCGAGACGAATATGAGGCTAAGGAACCCTCTATGATCTCTTATCTCGCAAAATCAAAAAAAGTCATGGCAAAGCTGAGAACTTTTGAAATTGAGCTAATCCCAAGGGGTCAAAATGCTCAAGCCGATGCACTCTCCAAACTTGCAAGTTCATCTCTCACAGAGTTGAACCGATCTGTATATGTGGAAGTGCGCTGAAACAGAAGCATCGACCAAGAAGCTGAGGTCTTATGTGTCGAGGTTAAGCTGGATGGATACTATCCTCGCTTATAAGCTTCAGGGAGAACTTCCCGAAGACAGGGTCTTGGCCGCGAAACTAAAAAGAATCGGCTCAAGGTTCATCGTCTATAATGGGAACTCCTGAAAAAATCCTTCTCGGCCCCACTGCTGAAGTGTGTGGGTCCAACAGATGCAGATTATATTCTTCGGGAGATTCACTTCGATATCTACAGGAACCACATCGGAGGAAGGACCTTGGCCCACAAAGCATTAAGGGCAGGATATTATTGGCCAACCATGATTTTGGACGCCAAGGAGCTGGTGAGAAAATGTGAAAAATGGCAAAAATTCGCACCAGTCATCCATCGGCCGTCGCAAGACCTTCAGCCAATCCTAGCTCCTCTTCCCTTTGCTCAATGGGGGTTGGATATCTTGGGACCTTTTCCCGAAGCTCCTTACCAGAAAAAGTGGCTAATAGTCGGCATTGACTATTTCAACAAATGGATTGAGGCCGAAGCAGCTTCAAACATAACTAAGCAAACTGTCAGGAAGTTTATCTGGCAGAATATCATCACTCGCTTCGGCATTCCAAAGGTGTTTGTCTTTGATCATGGAAGACAATTCGACAACCTGCCGCTGAAGCGACACATGGATCAGTTCGGCATTAAGGTGGCGTATTCGGCAATCTATCATCCTCAAAGTAATGGCCAAGCCGAAGCCGCAAATAAACAAATACTCAATGCTCTCAAAAAGAGAGTTGAGGATCAAAAGTCCAAGTGGATAGAGGAACTTCCCGGAACTCTATGGTCACTTCGGACAACCGAGAAAAAGGCGACGGGACATTCACCTTTTGAATTGGTGTATGGATCCGAAGCCGTCTTGCCAGTGGAAATAGGTTCAGAAAGTCTTCGAGTCAACCAGTTCACAGCCGAAGAAAATGAGATCCCTCGATTTCCTAGACAAAATCCGAGATTCGGCAAGAGCCAGAATGGCAGCATACAAACAAAGAATCAGCAAGTTTTATAACCGAAGAGTCCAAGCAAGGCTCCTTAAAGTTAGAGACCTCGTTCTTCGGAATGCTGCCGCTGTCCAGAAAACTCTCGGCTAACTAGGAAGGGCCTTATAAAATATACGACGAGCTCCAGCCAGGAACTTATCGACTTCGGCAGTTAGATGGAACCGAATTGAAAAACCACTGGAATGCTGATGTACTTAGGAAATTTCATGTGTAAAAGCCCAATGTGGGAGAAAAATCTATGTAAGTACGTCTTCTTCAAATCAATGAAAGGCCTTTGAGCCGCCATTAGTCAAAGTTTTCATTATGTCTTCATTATTTCTATCTTCATAGTTTTTGAAAAATTCAAGGTTTACACCCGGTGTTGTCCGAAGTATTGCATAGTGATGCACTGTACTTCGGTAAGCCGAAGGACCTTCCAATATGGGGAAAACAAATAGCCAAAAATAGGAATTGATAAAAGACCCGAATCATTGCATAATGATGCCCTGTGTTTCGGAAAATCAATTCCGGGTGATGATTACACCTCCGAAGTATTGCATAATGATGCCTTGTACTTGGGATGATCATTGCCCCGGCACTGTGTCCAAGATAGTCGTTCCCTCGGATGAATTAAAACCAGACAGAACATAAGAAACAAGCATAAATGTTCAAATTGTTTAGTTACAAAAATGTTGCTAAGTCCAAGCCTTCGGCTGCGCCGAAGGAAAGAAGGCAATAAACTCAGAGCTCTAAAGACCTCGTCTCCAGAATTCTGGGGGGGGGACTAGAAATACTTACCCATCAAGATCCAAGCCGAAGCTCGATACTTAGGAAATCTCAGGCATAATCCGAGCAAAATAGGCAAGGCTTAAAGGAATAAGAAAAATTCTCAGCTAAGTATTTCCATGCTGAAGCTTTGCACTTAGCCAAATTTTGAAGGAATTCAGGAAAAAGCAATAAAGTTCAAAGCTACTCAAACAAGCAAAAGGATAAGAGCTGAAATTCTACTTCATCCATTCAGAAAAATTAGAGCTGCGAATGTTGAGTTAAAACTACAAATATCAAAGTTCAGAATGTTTAGCAAAAAATTCAAAGTCGGCAGCCGCCCACATAGCGGAAAACACAGCTGCCGAAAGTACACAAAAACAGTTAAAATAGTTTGTACATAGGCAGGCTGAAACAAAAAGAGAACAGGCAAAAGCAGATGCGACGTTTACAAGTTAAGTGCACGTTGATCCGCAGGACTCAGTAGACGACTGCCCGAATTCCTATGCTTTAGCATTCTTGGGAACGTCATTCGGGGAAGCCAAAGCATCAACATCGGCTGAAGAGGAAGCAGGATGGGCGACATTCAGCTCTTTTGCAGCTTCTTCCTCTCTTTCCTCATTCTCAGCTTGCCGAGCCAGGAATGCTACCTCGGCTGGACTGGCCTCATACATATGAGCATCTTCCGGATCCATGGATCAGACTTCTCAGCCTGATCCCAGTTAATTTTAGGCTCAAGATGGAAGGCCAGTCGCCAAGCAACCTTCCTACCATTTTCATATCCTTCGGCATATTCTGTCTCAGTATAGATCCTGGTCTTCAGCAATTCCTCAGCAGCAGCGAGATCAGATGAGGCCTTGGAAGATACCTTCTTCTCAGCTTCTAGCGCATCCTTCAGCTTCTGGACCTCAGCTTTGAGCTCAGATTGCTTATCCTTAGCTTCTGTACGGATAAGAGCAACCTGGCTTTCATGATCTCGAGATTCAACCTCTTCTTTCATCTTATTCTCAATACGAGCCTTGAACTCAGCAATGGTCTCGACTCCGTATTCCTTCATCAGAGACTAACCCTCTTCAATCCAAGGAAAGACAGTCTGTTCCAGGCCTCGACAAAAGGAGCAGAAATTCTCGTTCATCCTTTGCATCTCCAGCTTCGCAGCCGAGGTCTCCTCTTCAGCCTTAAGCTGCTTTAGCTCGGCTAGCTGAGCCAGACTTTCAGCTTCTTCGGCCTTGTCGGCTTTGGACTGCAACTCATCATTCATTTCCACAGCTAGGAAATGATTATGAACAACCTG